TGAAACTGTGAAATCTGCCGCCCCTATTCAGCCAATAGCAGCTACAGACCCTAATGCCAATCTTTGGAAGCACATTGAGTCGCTAACTCTCCCAGCAAATGAGAAAATTGAGTTAGCAACCTATCTTGCTAAGCCAGAACAAGAAGTTTTCCGTGGTTTCCTGAATTGTGCTAGCGACCAGACTTTTAATGCTTGGGTCCTTGATTATTTCGCGCACAAGTACGACGGCAAAGATCGCGCAACTGCTGATCCATCAATCTGAATGACATGTTTGGTGGCTTTCTTTTGGCAAGTGCTTTTGTAGTCTACTTAGCTGCTTTCCATGCACTTATGCTAAGTGGATTCCTGTGCTCTAAGGGTGTTTAGAGGGTCTTACCTTTTGTAATGCATTGCTGTAGCACAAATCTGAATTAAGCTAGTTTGTAAGAAATTACTTGATGGTGGATGGCCTTGTGCATGCTACATTGCAATATTGCAGTGCTATGAAGATGCTTCTAAATTAGTAAATTATGCCCATGGTATGACCTGGCGTGTAAATTATGTATTGGCTTGCTTAGGTAACAAATTACTTGTCGGGACGAGTTATGCATATTTGGTAACAAACCAATTGATAGACACATGTTTTTTTGCTAAATATTGGCGAAAAACTGGCAACCAACCAATTGATAGCCAAACATGCCAAATGTTGGCAACTTCCAGCTTTGCCAAAAATAGGCTTGCCAACAATTGGCATGCCAAAAATTGGCTGCAAACCAATCAGCCTCTACATCATCAACATCATACATACAGGAAAAAAGAAACCAGGAAGGTATTCTACAATGGAGGATCGTCATCAGGACGACGTCTTTGGGTTTGCCTTCTCCCACCCGCCGCAGGAGTCGTCGCAGCAGCTCTCCTCGCCGATGACCCGGTTGACGGTCCTGCCGACGCAGCTGGACGAGGCGCAGCCGCCGTCCCTGGCGTTGTCGAAGTCCGGCGCGAAGCCGAGGAACATGGGCGGCTGCGTCTCCATCCCGTGGCTGCTGCCCAGCGTCCCGTACTGCTTCTCCACGCCGCCGTCCTCCCGGAACCGGACCTTGCACCCGCCGCCGTCCTCCCTGCAGAGGAGCACGTCGTGGCCGGGGTTCCAGAAGATGCGCACGCCGTGCGCCCAGCACAGGTTGGCGCCGCGGTAGGAGCAGAGCACCTCGAACACCTCGTCGCCGCGCACCGCCGGGATCGACATGCGCGCCTCCTCCGCGCTGGGGATCTCGGCCCGCTCCGACCAGACCGGCGCGCTCAGGTTGTGCTCGCTGTAGCCGTGGCACAGCAGCTGCACGTTGCCGTCCGCCATGTCCAGCTCCTCGCCCACCTGCTGCTCGTTGGTCACCACGATCAGCAGCTTCGGCGCGGCGCCCGGCAGGAACGGCGACGGCAGGCGGGGGCACCGGTACCGGAGGAAGTAGCTGGTCGCCACCACCGCGGCGATCAAGACGGCGAGGACGACGACCTTCACCGGCCCCGCGGCCATGACGGCGACGACAACGACGACGACGATGCTGCGCCGGCGGAGCTTAGGACCGTGGAGATGGGGCTGCGCGTACGTGTGCTGTCGAGGCTGGCATGCAAAGTGGCGCGCGCCTCGCTCATGCATGTTTCGCCGTGATCCTTCCTTGGGCTGAGGGAGGCCACAGCGGAGGAAGACAAACTTAGCCAGCGGACAGAGCCGAATGAGCTCGTTTTTTCCTCTAGGAGGCCATGGGCCGCACTGCCTAATTTTGGGGCGTTTGTTCACCTGGCTAAATTTGCCGATCGGCGAAGAACACAAATGCAACACTCAAAATATCATGCCAACTTTTATTTCCATCTGGTAGCAGTCTGAATTATGGTTCCATTCGAACAACAGTAGGCACAAACTCAGAATGATCATGGTGATGATGATGATGACAACATCAGTGTTGCAGAAGGTCTCTGAACCAGTAGGCCGACGCCTTGGGGTGCCGGTACAGGTTGGGGCTGTTGAAGTCGACGTAGACGATGCCGAACTTGGAGGAGTAGCCGGAGATCCACTCGAAGTTGTCGAGGAGAGACCACGCGAAGTAGCCGAGGACGTTGGCGCCGCCGTCGATGGCCTTCTTCAGCTCGCCGAGGTAGCTCCGGTAGTACCGGACCCTCGTCGCGTCCCGCAAGTACTGGTCGCGGGTGAGGCCCCCCGGCTGATCCATTCCTGGCAACATGATGATAACAAGGTTATGATATGTGCATGACAAGATGAAGGAGAGGCATGATACCGAGCAAAGATGATATAGAGCTTCAAAAAAAGATGAAGTATTTATCCAGTACCGTTTTCGGTTATGACAATAGCTGGGTTTCCATACTTCTGGCTGAGGTAGTGCACGCACCCGTACATCCCCGACGGCACGATGTAAAGCCAGTTAGAATTCGCCTGCGAGAGTTCACGCATCGACGAGGATTGATCATGTCAATTTTCAACCCAACGGTGCAAATATGGTCTGAGAAAAAAGAGCTGAAAAAGGTTGCAGCTAAGAGCCTACTACATACCTTTGGTCCAATCGGTTTGCCATTTCTCTCAACTGCAAAAATTTCGGCAATGACTAAAGGGGTGAACCAACAACATTCATCGGAATGCAATGGTGTAAAACCTAGAGCTTAAGACAAGAAACTCACAGGCATAGGTAACCTGCCAATCGGCTGAGTAGCTGGTCGGCGTCTGCTGCGTCAATTTCTGGCCCTTCATCAGGCTAGCCGTGTACTGGTTGATCCCAATGTAGTCTGCTGAGCCCTTGACCAATTTAGCTTCATCCGGAGTGAACCTGGGCAACCTCTCTTTCACAAGGTCTTGCATTATCTGCGGGTAATGCCCGTTTATCAGCGGGTCGACAAACCTGCATCCAATGCAACGTTGATGGTATAAGCATCGGTATATATTTTGTTTATCTATCTGAAATGCTTTGTCAGAGGATGCTAGTATGGCTTACCAGCCAACATGGAAGTCCCTGGCTCTTTGAGCCGCTGCTTGGTCTTCAGTTGAGTTGGTAAGAGCCTCGTACCAGTTGAAGTCCAGAACTATTCCAACCTTCCCCTTCTGAGCTGCCTGCATTTTTTTAAATTTTTATTCAGATACTATTCTACCATCAGTTTATACAGAATGGTGTTCAGTTCACCACAAATCATACATATCTGATATTTCAAGATTTTTATCACTTGCATGCCCAATGGATTTGGGAAATAATACTAATACATTTGTGGATATATACACAATAATAGAAAATAGACCATGATTTTTTGGCCGGAAAAATAAAATAAATCATGTTGGGCGGGCATTGTTCCACAATTAATGCAGATTGACCCTGCCTGTCACACTTGATTTTGTAAGAAAAAAATAATTCAAACTACACTCCTGAAGGCTGAGCCTAGTATAATTTAAGGTTCAAGTAGAAAAATACCTGATACTTAGTCCGGTATCTTGCAACTGCATAACCATGTGCTAAGAGAAAATTGTGAGCAACGATGTAAGGCTCTGTTGCTGAGTTGCCACCGGCAGCGCATTTGCTGCACCTCTGAGGAGGATTCGACCCTACATCGTAACCAAGAAGCGCAACAATCCTTGGTTCGTTGAATGTAAACCAGTGCTTTACACGATCGCCGAAGGTCTTAAAACAAAAGTCAGCGTAGTCTGCAAATAGTCCCCTACAGAACAAATATTATGAAGATAGTCATGCACTGCTCATTGTTCAACCTTTCATATCAGAGGTACATACGAGATATAGCATGCTGTATTTACCTAGATAAACATATAGTGCTTATATGTTGTGCATTTTACTTTCGGGTAAACATACAGAAACTTGCACATGCATAATCTTCATGCTCAATACGCAAAGTCACTTTAGACAATTATTACTGTACACAGAGTCACAGAGTAACTGGTAATTTGTCTAAACCATTTTAGCTTTCTCAGTATATATGCTAGTTTCTAATTCCAAACTACAAGTACTCCAAAGTGAGAAGGTAAATGTAACACATGAGTACATAGAAAGATACTAGAATATTAGTTTGACTTACACTGTCTTAGCATTTAACCAGCCTCCATACTTCTTCTCAAGTGCAAGAGGGAGATCGTAGTGGTAAAGATTGATATAAGGAGTAATGCCTGCTTAGTTTCCATGTAAACATTCAGATAGCATTCAGGTTCCCATGTTAGTTTCACAGGTTGAAATACATGCTTAGTTGCGCGCAAAAAGGGAAATACTATACCTTTCTGAAGAAGGTAGTTTATCAGATTATTGTAATACGCGACGCCTTCTTGGTTAACTTTTCCGTCACCATCTGCGTAAGTCAAAGATGCATAAGGGTGCTAACTCTTGTGTTTCATTCAGAATAATATTGGAGTTATGTATTAGCATTTAGCATGCTACGGTTCCAGCCAAATTCAGAATTACCTGGGAAGATTCTGGACCATGAGATAGAAAACCGGTAGGCATCGAAGTTTAATCCTTTCATGAGATTAACATCTTCCTGTGCCAACATAAAAGAACATATCATAAGGCCCTGGGAGTTCTTTCTCTGACAGTTGTAGTGTGAATGTTAACAATTAGTACTGCACCGGGATATGTCAACCAGCTCAACTTTTGTGAACTGTGATATATGCAGCTGTGATTTTGTAGTGTTTACAATTAGTACTGCGCCGGGAGATGTCAATCGGCTCAATTTTTGTGAAATGTTATCTCTGCAGTGTAATTTTGAATGGGTACAGGTATTTCACTTGGAGAAAGCTTGGTCAGCCATCACTTCACTGACCAAATGAAGATGGACATTGCCACCAATTAGCTTCTATTGACAAACAAAATATGGTACTACTCCGTCCCATAATTTTTTTGACATAATGGGACGGAGGGAGTATCTACGTCTTGCACGGTGTTATAAAGGTCCCAGAGGAGCAGCAGTAAAAGGAATAGAGATTTCAACTAATTTCTGACATGGAGGTCATTATGATTTCTAACACTAAAAGATGCGCCTCTGTTTGCTTCGGATGTGGCAGTAGAGTACCTTGTAGCGATGGTACTGATCCGTAGTAACGTCTGCATTTTGATTGCCCGCAATGTTGCCTGCTCGTTGCAACACAAACAAGAAAAATGTTACTCCCTCTGTTCACTTTTATAAGACCTTCAAGACATTTCAGACAATATGTAAAACAGCCTATTTTGAGCTGTCTAAAAGGACTTACAAAAGTGAATGGAGGGAGTAGTGTGGATGGATGAGAGGTCGAAGAAGAATGCACTTGGGATCTAAGTTTAAATTCTAGCAGCACGTTGAGTGTTTACTCACCTATCTACGCACAAGCAAAAGATGCATAGGTCTTTATATATACAATCATCAAACAATGAGCAGTACTATCGATCAAGACAGAATTAATCGTTCTCCAGCATTCGTACTCCCTCCGTTTGTTTTTACAAGACGTTCAGACAACTTGCTTTGTGCTGTTTTTAAACAGTGTCTGAAAGTCTAAAACGTCTTATAAAAACAAACAGAGGTAGTACATAATAAGTGATTTTTTTGTCCTTGGCATATGTTCGAATCGGAACTAGTGCTGAGCAGCTCACAGGCGTTAAGGAAAAACCACTGGTAAGGCGCTGGTGCTAAGCAAGAGACAGAGGAGACGGGCGAATCTCACCTGGGACGTGGGCGAACGCGTCCCAGATGGAAGGCCCGCGGCCGCCGCCGGCGGCCATGCCCTCCACCTGGTACGCCGACGTGGCCGTCCCGAAGACGAAGCCCTTGGGGAAGGACGCCCGGCTCAGGCCGCCCAGCCAGTTGGGCCGGCGCGGCGACGCCCCCGCGGCCGCGGCTCCCACTCCATGGCACGCCGCCACCAGCGCCAGCGCCAGCAGCAGCAGCAGCAGCACGCGGCTCGCCGACCTCGCGGCCATCTCCCCCGCCATGGCACGAGACGCAGAGCCCCTTCAGTTCGCACCCACCCACTGGCCTGCGACTGGCAGCTCGCTGCTCGCTAGTGATGCCAGAGCAGCGGCACGCTCTTCAAGTAGTGTTTGTGGGCGCGTCCTGCCTAATAATTGCCGGCGCGGTGGGGCGGGGCGGGGCGGAGGGCATCTTTTCTGGCGGTGCGCGCGCGTGGTCGAGGCTGGCGGCACGGGCGTGCTGGAGTAGTCCACTGGCTGGCACGGCCGCGTGGGTCACGGTGTCCCAGGACCAGGCGACGGACGGTCTACGGGGGGAAGGATGGAGGCGGTGACGAGGCGTGGCCGGCCGGAATGATTAATGGTGGCCAGTTCACGCCTGTCGGGGAGCGTCACGTGGCGGGGCCTTCCTCCGGCCGGGGATCGGCCATGTGACGCGGCATGTGGGAGTGTGGAGGATGGCGGAGGTGCGAGCCCCGAGCCAGGCGGCGGCGAACATGTCGCGGTCCGTGCGCGCGTGCGTTCGGTGTCCACCGCCGTGCACGGGAAACCTCGGAGCTGGACTGGGGCTCTGAGCTGCACGGCTGCACCGGCGCCGGTCGGTGCTGCCTACACTAGGCAGGCGCCAGGTAGGTTGGTACAGATCGGACACATGCTGCGGGTGAAACCTTGCACATGGTCACGGCAGCACAGGTAAAGAGCAAGTCCATCGCGCCGACGCAAAACTGTCGGCGCGTAATTTGTTTGGCTTGAAACGGATACAAATCGGTGCCCCACTCAAATGGACAAGCGTCCTATTTTTTGTCCGCGCGTGACCTATTTCAGGCCCAGATTTGAGCCAGTTTTACGTCGGCGTGGACACGGAGTGGACGCGCGACGCCCATCCTTGTCCTGCCCCTGGCCCGCCAGTCGGTGGCACAACGTCCAACGGCCAACACACCTGGCCACCCCCGCCCCTCGCCGCTGTCCCTAGTTCCGGCCGGTTGGACGCTGCCCAGGCCACCGCCCGGACCCATAAACCTTCCCTGGCAGCACGCCGCACTCGACGACCGCTCTTGCCGGCGTTGGCGGACTGTTTTCGCCACCGTCGTAGCACCCCCACGACCACGCCACCCCCCTCGCCTTCGCCGTCGGCAATGACCCAAGCTCGGCGTCCTCGCTCACCGGTCGCCGCCACGGTCGCTTCCACGCCGATAGGCTTGCTGCCTGGTCTTGGAAAAACGTGGGGCTCTTCACCAGCCGGCTTCTACCTCCATGCCTCAGAGGTGTGACCTGGGGCTCTGAGCTGCACCAGCACCAGTCGGTGATGCGTACACTAGGCAGGTTGGCCACCGCTTCCCCCTTCCTTCTCATCCCTCACCGTCATTAGGGGGCGCGCCCAGGCGAAGCCTGGTCAACATTGACAACACTGGCGCCTATTCGTCCCCCGCTCGATGGGGTTGACGTGGGAGGGGTGGATGTGATGGTTGACCGTCAAGGTTGACACGGGACGGGCGGATGTGATGGCGGTGTGCGCTTGGCGTGGATGCGGCGGAGGATCGATTTGTTCCTCTCTGAGGCAAGGGCTGTGGGCGGCCGTCTCTGTCGTGGCAGTTGGCTGGCGGAGGTGGGCGGTAGCCCTCCTCTGCTTACGTTGTTGGATCGGAGGACGATGGTTGATCTTTTTGGACTGCTGCTCGTGGATCAGCGTGTGGCCTCGATGGCTGGCCGGTGTGACAGGGGCCTTCCCGAACTTATTAGTCGATTTAGAGCATCTCCAACAGCCGCGCTACGCGCCACGCGCTAAAAACTACTTTGCCGCGCGCCTTTCGCCTGGTTTTGCGCGGCCGGCAGCGCTGGCTCCAACAGCCGCGCCAAAATGCAGCGCGCGCGCCGTGCTAAAATGCAGCATGCGCTATCGCATGCACATAGAGAAAAAATCCTTGTGCCTTTTCCAATAGATATTTTACATTCATAGATAAACGATACATAGATATTTTACATAGTTCCAAAGCATAGATAGATAACTACGGTGCAACGGCATAAAAAAACTACTAGATTGTGCGCATGTACAACTTCTTAAATGCCATTGGATCTGAGATCCAACGACTTCCAGAAGCCCATATCATGGTATCACCTAAGGGCCGATAGCACCATATATTTTCCCCTATGCAGAATGCTTGCCAATCAATGCATGAAATCGATTAGTTTCTAAACAATTAAATAAAAGAAGTTTAGCTAAAAAAACTAAACACATATGCACTGAAAAGATTAGTTGTTAAGCCTTTTAACGCACTTAGCATCTCACCAAACACTGAAAGAAGTCTTATAGGTCAATACTGAGGTGGCATATCAACTAAAGAAAAAGAGAGGCAAGTAATATGTTAATGAAGAGATGACTTTTAACACGTCCCTACGCGGTCTTATTCTCAGATCTGACATAACTTCTCTCCCTAGTTTCCTCTCGTTCCCTTCTCTCCACAACTAGGACACAATGTTTGACATGCAAACATGATCCAATTTGCTCTGTGTGATGGGAGCTTCAACTCTTCTTTTTTCTTTTTTCTTTTTTTGCCAAAACGACCTGGGTCGATTATAAAAGTTCATCAGAAGTACAAAAGCTTCAACTCCTCTTTGAATCTCCGTTTGCATCCACATACATAGGGTTGGTTCTCTTCCATTAAAGATTGCATCGATTGGCAGTGGTGCCAATACTACCAACTCTACGAACAAGGGCACATTTTGGTACCTTGCTCCAAGGAGGACGACTTTACTGGTGCTGGTGAGGGAGCTGTCTAATTTCTCAATTGGAACAAGTGAGTAACCATGATGAGGTTGTTGGTGCGGTGAGCTTTTACATTAGTGGCAGATCATCACCAAAGTGGCAGCCGCGGCTCAATTTCCACAGATCTGGGTGCACACAAACAATAGTGTGAAACTGCGCAAGGTTGTTCCAATACACTCTACGCTGCAGCACATTTTCACAGACAATATGCTGCTGGCGTCCACTGCTTATCAAGTACTGCTAGCTAGCTGCCACAGCAAGAGAAAATAAACTCACCACTAGAAGGAGAGCATGAAGATGGAGGGAAGAAGCAGATACAAGCAAACCAGCAGGGAGAGCAGAACCCGGGGGCTGCTCGAGGTGGCCGAACCACCAGCTGCTGCCATGTTGCTGCCTGACACGCCGGAGCCAGCCTGAGTGCCGCCGGAAGTAACCGTGCCGTCTTTCGAGGAGCCGGGCCCCGACGCCTGCAGCATCTTCTTGAACCAGTAGGCCGAGTCCTTGGGGTACCGCTTGAGGGTGGTGAAGTCGACGTACATGATGCCGAACTTGGAGGTGTAGCCCGACAGCCACTCGAAGTTGTCGAGGAGCGACCACGCAAAGTAGCCGACCACGTTCGCGCCGTCGTCGATCGCCTTCTTCAGCTCCGCGAGGTACGTCTTGTAGAACTCGACCCTGGAGGCGTCGTGCAGGAACTCCTCGCGGGTCAGGTTCGCGGGTTGGTCCATTCCTGGCACCATATCATATCACCGTGATTTGTATTATATATGTATATATTTGTTTTGATGGACATTGTTGCATGTAGAGTTTGTTTTTTCAAGTTGTCAAAGGAGGATAAGGCCGTTTTTTCAAATACCGTTTTCGGATATGATGATCGTCGGGTTGTTGTACTTCTCCCTTATGTAGTTCACACATCCGTACATGCCCGTCGGCACGATGTAAAGCCAATTGGAGTTCGCCTGCACACAAATTGACACACCACCAGATACTCGCTTGTTAGTTTTTGCACTTGTCAAATCTTGTAACGCTGGCAGAAGAAACTGCAATGTGATGTTGCAGGAGGAAATGGCTATACATACCTTCTGTCCAATCGGTACGCCATTTCGCTGAACTGCATGTGTAAAGGAGAGGGTGAGAAGTGATGTATCTTGAGTAACTGCATTGATTTATATTTATAAAACCTGAATCATACATATAAGTTGACGACTCACATATATATTGAACATGCCAGTCTGATGAGTAGCTTGTTGGTGGTTGCTGGGGCATTGGTTGGTCCGCCATGTAGGTCGCTGTGTACTGATTTATCCCAATATAATCTACAGAGCCCTTGACTAACTTGGATTGTTCAGGTGTGAAACTAGGTAACCTCTCTTTTACAATATCTTGCATGGTCTTCGGGTATTGGCCATTCAGTAGTGGATCAAGAAACCTGAATTTCCGGCATAATTTTTTTCAATAAAGGGCAATTGCATCAAATGAAAACCTGAAGTTTGTGACGAATTACTGCCATGGTCTTACCAACCAACATGGAAGTCCCTAGCCCTTTGAGCTGCTGCTTGGTCGGCGGGTGAGTTGGTAGCAGCTTCATACCAGTTGAAGTCCAGAACTATCCCAACTTTGCCTTTCTGACTTGCCTAAATTATGTCTGAAGTCAGATGACAGGATCGTACACAGCAATACAAATACATATGTGACATAGTTGCCTCAATACTTACTTTTCCGCTACAAATGCACATAACACTTATAGTCACATATTAGAAGCACATTATTTTAGTAGACAAAAATGCTTTCCCTACCATATACAAACCATATGGCAAAGCAAAAGAATTTCAAACTTGCAGCCGAATATCCTTCTTTGAAAAAAAAACGTTAATAAGAAACTTTAGCCACTTGGCATAGCATGGATTATTTTTTGCAAGATACTGAATTTAATTACATTCAGAACTAATTCCAGAAAGCAACCAAAACTTTATGCTGACAAATTAGGCTAATTATTGTGTACATATACAAACTACCATGTTACTAACCTGGTACTTGTTGCGGTATCTCGCAACTGCAGTAGCATGAGATAAGAGAATGTTATGAACAACAGTGTAAGGCTCTGTTGCTGAGTTCCCACCGGCAGCGCATTTGGTGCACCTGTTAGGGGGATTCGTTCCAGTATCAAAGCCAAGTGCTGCCACTATCCTTGGCTCATTGAATGTGAACCAGTTCTTAATTCGATCACCATAAGTCTTGAAACAAAATTCAGCATAGTCCG